GCAAAATAACGTGTTGATAGTGTCACTGTGTTAAGGCACGCTACTTAATATAAACCGAATAGCTTAAACGAGCAGGTGTCAGGTCGATTTTGATTAGACAGAGAAGCACATGTGTGGTATCTAGGGGTGCAAGTGGATCGGGCAGGTCAACAAGGGCCTATGACGTAGGTCTTTTGTCATCATCCTTCAGCCTTCACTCCCATACTACGTGCTCTTAAGTTACATTTTGTATTCTTTCTTACATCAATATAGTGTAGTCGGTGAGCAATTATGTGATTTATATTTATCTTATTGTTGCTTCACTTATATTTTACTCATTCTCAAATCTCTAGTTGTGTTAGATTGGGGTGCAAAGGGAGAAAATATTTCAAGATGATCATGCTTATATACTCATGAAAAGATTTAAAGGAATCTATTTTGTCAATAATAATTGTAGTTGAAATTTGATAGTGGACTTGGATTGTTGCATAACCCAAAATTACAATATCAATAATTTGTTACCAAAGATATGGTGTTCTTAGTTAAACAAGTCCCCTCAGCCTTGATCGAGGTTAGGACTCAGCTTTAAGATTTGTGGTTCATCATCAACATTTATAAGTAACAGTTATCTCTTACTTTCGCCGATATTGCTGATAGTGATGCAAAGAGAGAGAAACACATAGAAGGAAACGCAAACCATATATGAAGACATTTTGAGGAAGAAACTCGTCACCATTGCTAAAGAAAGACAAAAAGCCTATAGAATAGGATTCATATCCCTTTAAAGAGAGAAAAACTTATGTGATGAATCTTGTGAGTAAATATATCCTTTTAGAGGGTAAAATCCTCTGATTATTGAACCAAAATGAATCTGTGTAATTTCATTATTCGTAGTGGAAACTTTTTGGACTTGGTCCCATAATTTTTACTTTTCACATTAAAGAGGTTTTTCACGTTAGAACTTTGGTATTCTCTACTTTATCTATCTTTGTTTTGATTTTGCTTTAATGTTTGTTCACTAAGGCTTCCACAAGTCGGGTTGATAAAGGACAGACTATTTGATATGATGAAGCCAGGTTGTAAGTGTCGGACTCCACGACACAATAATGTTATCAGAGCCAATGGTGGATTGGCCTACGGTGATACGAATATTTGAATGTGTGGGAAGTCAAGGTCTTGATGTTAATTTGTACTCAAGTCTTGATAGAAGAGCCAATTTCTTGATGAGAAGTCAAGCAATGATGAACCCCATGAATACTCGAAGAAGCTTCTCCTTGAGATAGAGTAGATTGAATGCCGGCTTGAGACTTGTACTTGAGGGCCAGGGGAGATGTTGGGGATTTTAAGTGTGAGTGAGTGAAGTCATACATTGGTTAAGAATAGACTAAGTGAACACCATATAAATGGAAGGACTCATGTACCTAATGTTTTAAATTTTGAATTGATTGTGGCATTTAAAGCCACTTAATGTCATTGTTCACTAAAGAGACGGCGGCCTCCCCTACCTTGAGCTTTCCCTTGTTGGCCCAAAAATATGCGGATAGTGAAAAACAATACCTAATGAAAGAATTTTGTCATTCTTGTGCTTCTCTTGTCAACTCTATTATTAAACTAATTTGGGTAATCGATAAATTCATGGAGAAATAATAATAATCATAATAAAGTTTACTCCCGTAGAGTAAAGAAAAACACAGAACCCAGCTTCAACAAAAGTGGCTATATTTATGAGAAAACTCTTTAAATTTCCGCCATATATTTAGAACCATGATTGGCTAATTTGATTTGATCTCTATTACATATACATTACAGTTCAGCCGCTTACCAAATTTCGGGGGTATAAATTGTGAAAAACTCTGTTAACAAATTGCATTATTTCAGAATTCATTTTTTTTTCTTCGAAGAAAAAAAGGATACACTTTTGCAATTAAATAATGAAATCTGGTACACAGTTTGCGGATAGAATTTTTGTTTCTTGGTGTCCGGAGACTGGAAAACTTCCTTAATATGCATACAAAAGTAATAGAAAGAAAATTATAATGAGTTGATTGTTATATAGAACATAATTTGGCATGAGAAAATCATTCGAGGTTTTAAACTATAAAATTTGTAAGATAATTATAATAATTTAATCGTTTTACATAATATTTTAAATATTAATGTAAATTTTTTAAAAGAAAAATGTTTACACTTTTTTATTACCCAATTGACAGGTGGGTTTGACGTTCTGACGTGTAATGTTCGTATGATTTCGGAAGAGAGTTAAACAAATAAATGTGAAACAGAATGCATAAATGGATCAATCCACCCTTTCAAAAGAGACGAATATCTGGAAGATGTTTCATTTTTGTTCTTCAATTATGAAAATAGGGTCATGCATATACCTCTAAAAGGTCCGTTCAGGGATATTGATGAATATAAAAGTGTGTTATGTAGTGTCCAACTTTTCCTTTTGGTAAATTGCATATATTCATTGTCTGGCACGTTCTCCTACAAGACTATGCGCACATCGTCATGCTATTCTTTTCTTAATATAACTTTTTAGATGTTTTTTTTTTTTTTTTGAATTTAATTCAACCTTAATTATTTTTTTGACACAAGTTGATTTTCTCTAATATTTTTAAGTTTTGACTCTTTGAACTGATTATGAGACTAATCCAGTGCAGAACAGGTAGAGAATAAAAATATTTAAATTCCTTTCAAAAATAACATACAAAAATCAAACCAAGATTTTTTTTCTTTTCACTTATAACACAATTTGATTAGATGTTATATTTTTAGTTGTAGCCTCGTAGGAATCATACAAACGCAGGTGACGGGAGTCTAGACTTGTAATAGGCTCTTTTCACGGTTTCACTTTTTTTTTTCTTCCTTTCTAATTAATCTATGGAGTTTGCATTATTATTTAACATGATACAAGAAAGTTTTTTACACACATAATATTTTGTAGGTCCCATATTTTTTGAATAAAAAAAAAAATTACGGCACGCAAAACGAATCTCTATAACATTACACAATCACTTTTCTTACAACATAACTATTATAAAACCCTTAATCTATACGTCCTTATTTTATTTAGATTTTGTTTGGTATTGAAGTTTTTGAATGGAAAAAAAGAAAGCATGATTGAAGCAGTTAATATTTTTTAAATGTTATGCTGGACACCAATGTTATTAAAACCGGACCGATCATTGACCCGGTCGAGGTACCGGGTCACTGGGTCAATGGTTCAACCGGTGGGTCACTGGTTGAACCGCATGAACCGGGTATATATATAAATTTATATTTTATACTTAATTATATAATAAATATTTTAAATGGTGCAATTCAAACAATAACCTGATGTAGTCTAGTGGTAATTACTATATTGTCTATCCTCAATGTATGGAGTTCGATTCCTATTTGATGCAATTTTTGAAATAATTCTATTAACTTAACTGTTATATAATAAGTATATTAAATGGTGCATTATATTTAACAGGTAATGATAGCGTAGTGGTTCAAAGGTGCGCTCCTCACGTCAAAGGGTTGGGTTCGATTCTCACTTGGTGAACCTACCCTATATTTCATGAGCACAAACGGTCTACACCTCCATCGATCAGTCACATATATTAGAAAACAACAATTGACTAGACAGAAATTATGATAAGCCCAGCTTGTTCAGCCCAAGGCCCAAACCTGCATAGCCTATTTATTTTGTATATTTTCAACAGAGCCTATTTGGGCCTTTTAACCCAGCCCGAGAATACAGTAATACTTTTATTTTTTTAATATTATCCAACGATATATTAATTATTTAATTAATTTGATTCGAGCTGAAAAATATTACGGGATGGAAAAATTCTCCTAAACAAATTTTTTAAATAGATGCATTTATAAGGATTGGAACTCGAAATCACTAGTTAAATTAGAACCAGGGACGGATTGAGGGAAGGGCGATCATTAGTTTGGTAGCCGTCTCTCCCTAAATTTTAATTTTTTATTATTTTATGTACAAAATAATAATTTTAACAATAATAGGGTATTAGTACTAATAATTAATCTCTTCTTAAAAAATACTTATAATTATTATTATTATCTTTTATTAGTCTTAATAATATTTAGAATTTTAAAATTTTATTTTTATCTCCTATTATAAAAAATTCTGAATTGACAAGTGGCTGGAACAATCCCTTGTAAATTGATCGAAATGCTCGGTGTTCCCACATAACAATCATTCATATTAAAGTTATAGAAAGAAATTGTTGTGCGAACAAGCTTTCAAACCTTCCTTGGGTGAATCTTACACAAGACTTTTGTACTTCTCCTCCCCCACCCACTTAGGCATTTTTGTATTGTATTTAACTGATTTAGGTGGTTTTAGTTAAACTCATGGAATAATGATCAAAATGTTATTTTTTGACAAAAATTTTATCCAAATGTCACGCGAAACTTTTTACCAAACTGTCACGTGACGTAATTCGTTACGACTGGTAGCGAATTACGTTTCTCAATAATTTTGTGATAAGTGACACACTTTCGTAGGAAAAAACTGACGTGTCATAATTTGCTATGGCCACGTGTCACGAAATCATTACATAAAATTCGCTACCAATAATAACGAATTATGGCACGTGGTAGTCGGTTAACGTGACATTTAGATAAAAAAAATTAACAAAAAAAATGTCAATTTAGTCACTGTTTCGAAACTCGTTCTATTCTCTCTCCTTAGCCTGTTTTTGGGGGTTTTACCCTATCCATAATACCCAAAAAAAAAAAAAAAAAGAGAGAGTTGTATTTGTCTAAAATGGAAAATATAGTCTAAGCTTAATGTGTAAGTTTCTAGTTATTTGAAATCTAAATTTATTTAGATATCAAATGGTCAAAATCTCAACCATAAGTCAGTCCCTCCCACATGCTTAACCTTAACCCTATATCTCTCAACAATCTTGAAAATTCCACTTCGCTACTATATATATTCACCAAATATCAATAATTTTTACTACCACCACACCACACCACACCAAATTATTTCTTTGGAAAGCATGAGTTACCACAACCACAGACATCCTCCTCCGCCACCTGGACCATCACCACCACACGGTCCCCCGGGACCACCAGGTCCACCGCCACCTGTCTTCCACCATCCACCACCGCCTCCGGACCCATTTGCTCCCCCACCACCACTTCATCATCATCATCCACCACCGCCTCCACCAGATCCCCGTCCTCCTCCACCACCGGTTCTGCATCATCATCATCATCATCATCCGCCGCCGCCGGGGCCTCCACCGCCTGGATGGCCTAATCCTCCGCCTCCACGCCCACCTTATTATTAAATTTAGTGAGTGGATCGATGGATGGATATGCTTTATCTATCAGTATCACGCTTTAGTAAGTTGCTTTTCGCTTATATATATCTTAATTTGTGTTTAGGACTTCTTATTCTGTTTGGCTTTGTTTGCATAATCATCTACTTTATTATCATCTACAGCTGTTATAATTTGTATTATGATTTTATTACACACGTGCTCTGTGTTTGTATTATTATAAAGTACCCTTAAATTTGTGTTATTAAAGGCAATATTATCGCAGAATTATTCATGTATGTGCAAAACGAATGGATAAGGCTGCTCCATGATAGTGTTAAAACCCTAAGTTAATGGATATTAGATTCTGTTAATTGTTTTAATGGAAATTTATTGACTTCGTTATTAATATAAATAATGGTAAATTGAATGCTTCCATTATTGTTAATAACAATAAATTAATTGGTTCCGTTATTAATAACAGTAAATTAAATTAATTGGCTGGAGGGATGTAGTTTACTGATTTGTGCTAATTTGCAATGATGACATTGTTCAAAATAAGTAATAAGATATTGTATGACAAATAGTGAGAGGTTGTATATGAGATTCTTGGGTTTAAAGGGAAAATTTGAGTGTTGTATGCTGTGTTTCATGAAATTTCTCGAAGTGGTACTAATTTGTGCTAATTTCTGAGATATTCTAATCTGTGGGTGAATCACTTTAGATATTGTCTTTTCAATTTCTTTAACTATTAAGTTTGCATGATATTCAAGATATCTCCGAAATTTTCAACAGTCCTGCCCTTAATAGGCCAGTTTAATCATTAACTGTAAAGAAATTTGAGATACATCATCCCAAAAGCTAGCTCAAAGGGTGGGAGTGCCCAAAGTCTTATAAATTCCACATTAGTTGCTCATATAACCAATGTGGGACTATATACGCCCCCTCACACAAGAGCCCTTTGGGCTTGAAGCGTGGATTATGCACAGGTACAATTTTTGGTTTATCTTTTGTGCTTTTTGTTTTAATTTCACTTTTTTTTTTTTTGTGTAATAATTTTAATTTCACTTTAAAGTAGGAGACGGTGAGGCTCTGATACCATGTAGAATCCAAGAAACTCATCTGGAAGAATAGAAAAATGAATATTCACACTATCTGAATGTACTCTTACAACTTATATACATGAAGCTCTGAAGTATAACCGAAAAGCTAACTAATCTAACTTCTTCCGTAAAAACAGGAATCAGTTCAACTAACTTAAATTACACGTGGTCTAATTTAATAAAGCTCCAACCAATAAGAACTATTCTCATCATCCCCCCTCAACTCAAGGTGGGAGGTGCATATCAAGCAATCCCAGCTTGCCAACTAGCTGCTGAAACGTTCGTGGAGCCAAGGCTTTGGTATTCGAAACTCACTTCTGCTCTTCTCTCTATTGGTTATCAACAGTCCGAAGCTGATCATTCCCTTCTCACCAAATCTCAGCCTGGTTCTTTCACCGCTCTTCTCATTTACGTTGATGATATTGTGTTAGCTGGGGATGATGCTAAGGAAATTCAGCATGTTAAACAATTCCTTGATGCTACGTTTCGCATTAAGGATTTGGGGGCCCTACACTACTTCCTTGGTTTAGAGATATTCTGATCTGATAATGGATTGGTGATCAACCATCGCAAGTATGCACTTGAGTTAATAGATGATGGTGGGTTGTTAGGCTCTAAACCATGCTCAACTCCAATGGAGCCGGGTACTAAATTGGAAAAAGATAAAGGACAGCCTTGCTTAGATACTGGCAGCTACAGAAGATTGGTAGGAAGGTTGTTATATTTGACAACAACACGTCCGGATATATGCCATGATGTACAACAACTCAGTCAACATGTTGGACATCCCACTGATATTCATGTTCAGGCTGCTACTCGTGTGTTGAAATATTTGAAAGGAACTCCAGGAAAAAGACTATTTTTTGGTGCTAAAAATGAGTCCAAGATCAGTGCATTTGCTGATTCTGATTGGGCAACCGGTCCTGATACAAGGCGTTCAATCACTGGATATTGTATCTTCTATGGTTCTTCACTAATTGGGTGGAGATCTAAGAAGCGGAATACAATTTCTAGGTCATCATCAGAAGCTGAGTATAGGGCCTTAGCAAGCTTAACGTGTGAATTACAGTGGATGCGTTATTTGCTTGATGATTTGAACATTAAATTGTCTCAACCAATGGCAGTATTCTGTGATAACAGATCTGCGATCTACCTTGCTCATAACCCTGCTTTCCATGAGCGTTCTAAGCACATAGAGATCGATTGTCACATAGTACGGGAGATCTACCTTGCTCATAACCCTGCTTTCCATGAGCGTTCTAAGCACATAGAGATCGATTGTCACATAGTACGGGAGAAAATTATCAGTGGTCTCATTCATCTGTTACCTGTTGCTTTTTTAGAACAGTTAGCAGACTCCTTTACCAAAGCCTTATAAACTCCACATTAGTTGCTCATACAACCAATGTGAGACTATATATCTCAACATTAACACCCGAAAATAGGAATCTGCAAAACAAGAACAATGAGAAAGATTAAAATTAAACTCTGATTCCGAAAATAGAGAATCAAAGCTCGAAGAATAGAATCCACTAGGATTAGCCTAGTGGTGTGGGGTGTGTGTGTTAGGTGTATGTAGTGTAGTGGTGTGTGTTCAATTCCCATGTAATGCAAAAAAAAAAAAAAAAAAAAAGCTCGAAGAATAGCGTAGCCAAAAATTGCGGAAATAAGCCAAATGCAGTGTCTGCCAGCTACTGGTGAAATTGCATGGCCTTGGCCCAAAGGAATAAGGAGTATATATGTTCATGAATAGCATACGAGAGATATTGGAAAACAAATGATATCATACGAATTAAGATTTTAATTTATTATTTTTGGACAAAAAAATTCATTGGTATTCAAAAGTATTGAAAAAAAGTCATGTGATATTCGATTAGTATTTTAAAATATTAATTTAGAGTCCATTCAAATCGATGGTATTCAATCAGGAATTTAAACAAAGGAATGTCTCTCTCACAATTTTACCCTAAACCTTATAATTTTTGGAGATTTCTTTATTGGTCATTTTTTTCCTTTGGCGGGTCGACCGCTCAAAACTGAGTTCCGCCATGGAAATTTGGTCAAAGATCAAAAATAGCATATTTTTTAGTTATTTTCATCACAAAAAACCCTGAAACAACAACCGAACAAGATTCTAGTCTAATTCATCTCAAAAACAGCAAATTTTTAAGCGATTTTGAAAGCTTTTGGAAGTTTAAAAAGTAATTTTTCAAGTTATGAATCACTATTTTTCTTGGCACAAAAAATGTTATTTTTATATTAAAAACAATATAAAATAATGGGAATATAATAGAGTAACAAAAACAATAGTAATGTGCAAAACAACAACTAGAAAGATTAAAATTAAACTCTGATTCCAAAAATAGAGAATCAAAACTTGAAGAATAGTATAGCCGAAAATTGCGGAAATAAACCAAATGCAGTGTTTGTCATTGTTGAGCTTTTGAGTTGAATTAATTTTTTACGGGTAGCTACTTGTGAAATTGCATGGCCTTGGCCCAAAGGAATAAGGAGTATATATGTTCATGAATACCATTCGAGAGATATTGGAAAACAAATGATATCAGACTAAGACTATTGCATACAGGGTATAGTTTCCAATGTTATGAAATTGCTCATTTCCAAATGTATGGTCACATTAGTCTCCAAAGCTCTAGCTATTCCTAAATGCACCACATGGTAAGTACATTATCACAGACGCCAGAGAAAGCAGAGTTCTATTGATTTCGTGTACGGGTTTAATTCTATCTGGGTTGTGATATGGAAAATACTGATCAAAAGATTCAATTATCAAGTTCTACAAAGTAATTTGATAGAAATAATTACTGCGTTATTTTCTGTATTTGATTCACTCTATTGATAATTTATACTTTTTTTTATTTTGTAGAGTAATTGTTTATACTTTTCTTTCTCTTTATTATCTATTTACCTGAACAAATAATACGTTGAGATTGAATTATAAGTAACTGAAGAGTACTAAATAACTGAAGAGTAATAAAAGATGGGAAAATGTTTATCTTTTTAAATGACATAATTTATATTTTTTAATTCTTATAAAGAGGTAGGACTCCACATCTTTATATTTTTTTTCACTCTCTCTCCTCTTTTATCTATCTCTTTTTCTCACTTAAAATTATACAACTTTACACTCTTTAAAATTATACACACTTTTTCATAAAAGATTAAAAAACTAGAAAGATATTATAGAAAGCAAGGTACAAGTCATCATCGTCTTTTTCTTTAGACTTTCCGTTCCTGCTATTGTTTTCACTTAAAAAGAAAAGAAAAGAAAAAAGAAAGAAATCATATGACTCTTCACATCAAACTTTTTTTTTTTTCAAAGATTCTCTAAATACGGTTCAGTGGGGTTAAAGGCCTGACGGATAATCTCTGCATCCTAGGCTCATTCATATGACATGATCGAGACATCTTTTTAGGTTCGAGGGGTCCTCTAGGCTGAACACTTTGTAGTTAGATGAAATCAGAAGCCACGGGCCTGCCTATTTATTGTAACAAAAAATAAAATAAAATAGAAGCCACGTGTCTTACGCACCAAAAAATCTAATGTACCACTGGTAGTTTATACTTTATACATCCTATTAATAAGAGCATACGACAACACTTGACATCTTTTCTGAAAAGAAAAAAAATTATTATAATTATATATTTTAAAAAATATATAATTTGTAATTTCATTTTTAAATACTATCGTTCCAATGTTTAAACGTTTAATATGATGATAGTATCAAAATTATTCTCCTTGTCCATCCATTCTGCATGGTGTACCAAAATTAGCACCTTCTTCCTTCTAGAATGCTTCCCCTGAGGTAGGATAAATGGGTCCTAATATGAGCAATAAAAATATCACAAATGACCACTGTATATGGATAAGTCACAAGTTTCAATCCTTGTTTCGCTAACATTGCAAGAAAGAGTGTGTACAGATTTTTTAAACCCTCCTAATGCCTCAGGCTAACACAATTCACCCAAACTAACCCAATGTATCTTCCTCGCATGTCTGCTCTCCTTACCTAAATTTCTCGGTTGTGTGATAATTCAGGGATGCATGAATTGTATTTTTGTCTGTTCAGAATGCCATTGATAAACCTTTAGTTTATTTTGTATTAAGAATCAATTTTACATGAACTATCAAGTCAAATGCATGATATTAGGGTTTATTAATGTAAAAACATGAACTATTGAAATATGAAATAAATAATTGACTTTTGCTTGTTTTGAATGTGAATGATGTTAAATGAACGCAAATATGAAGCTTAAAGGCTTGGAGATCAAGAACTTGAAGATCATGAAGATTCTAGGTGCAAATAAAAGAAATTGCAATTCTTGAAGAGGAGGCTTAAGCTCCCAAGTAACTAAAAGTTTTTGTACGAGAAAGCTTAAGTCCCCAAAATAAGGCTTAAACTCACTGCAGGTAAAAAGTTCCTCTTCGAAGAGAGGGCTTGAGCGCCCAAAACGGGGCTTAAGCGTCCTCATACAAATCTACATTGCTATCCTATAGGGCTTAAGCGCCCTTCACGATCCAACTTAGGCCCAATTGAATATCTCCACTTAGGGCACAAATTCCTTCACCTATAAAAAGGCAAATTGAAGCAAAATTCATAATCATCTGATCAAGGAGGCAGAGAAGAAACAAAGGAAACACCTAATTCATGTTCTTGAGAATCGGAGACGGATCGGGATCAAGTTTGCACTAGAAATATTGAAGATTCACCACACTACTATGGTGTTTGGGGAAGATTCTTATTTTCTTTCATCTTTGATTTGTAATGTCAGGCTAAATTTTTATAATATTTAGGGTTAGATGGAATTCAATTAATCTTTTATGTTTTGAATAAACTCTTGATGTTATTCTTCCTTTTTATTTTGAATGAAATTATATTTTCTTAATGTTGTCTATGAGCTTGAATCTTGTAGACTGATCATAGGTAAATGCATGGCAATAGAAATGTTGGTGCATAATTCATACATGATTATTTCATCGCAATCTTTATAATTCTAGGAATATACATAAAAGTTTTACGCAATCTTGTGATTCTTGAACGTAATGCTTATCTTCTTGGGGAAATAACCAGGGAACTAGGGTTCTTGAAAGATTATAAAAATTTTGGGTGTCAAGGAATTGAATCCTAATTAAATTAAAAGAATCAATTGGCTTTATATTAAGGACGAATGATCTGAAAGAATGAGTTCAAAACATAATAGGGAGATTGGGAGAAGTTGAAACCCTAGCTACGTTTCTTTTCTGTCAAGTAATCAAAACTTTTACGTTTTTGTTTTTATTCTTGTTTTTAATTAGTTTTAGTATTTTAAATCCAATTCAAATCTTGTTACAAATTCATAATTGATTGTCCAACTTAAGCAGAAGTAATGAATTAGTGATTGAATTATAATCCTCGTGGGAACGATCTCGAATCAGTACATTATATTACTTATACGACCGGTGCACTTGTCGAGTTCGTACAACAGCCATTGAAACTATTTTTTGGTGGAGAAGTTCAGCTCCGTCAATGGAATTATATA